CGGACTGATGCTCCCCAGAATGGAAAAGGAGCCGGGGCCATGAGGTCCTGTAATGTAAAAATAAAAAATAAAAAAATCCAGAGTCCAAAATCACATTGAAAGCCAGCAAGTCCAATGCTGTCCAGAAAGCAGAAATGCACTGATATTCCACCAAAGGAGAACAAAAACACTGAATCCGGATGTCAATGAGAACATACTCTCACCACCACCAACATATGTATCCAGAGTACTTCCTCCTACTTGGCGCTCAGCATCCGGACCACGATCACACAGCTACTAGCAGCCTACGAATTGACAATGCATCCTGTTGACGTCAGCAGCAACAACCGAAGTACATGAAGATGTTGACCTTGTAGACCATTGCCAAGACCAGGTACGTGCCCTCACATCATCAACCTCATCTCTCTCTCTCTCACCCTCGACTTCATCACCCACGTCTTCTCCCTCATACACCAAGACCACCACCACCTCTCGCTGGCTGTCCAAGCCCAAGCCCGGCTACGTGGGCTGGGCTATGGCGCTGCCCTCAGCAGCACCCTACCTTCTTCCTCGACGCCCGAGCGCGCCCGGCATCCGCTAGCGCACCGCAAACAGCCTGCGAGCGCACGCTCCAGCAGCTCTGCCGCTTGCACAAGCCAGTGCCCGAATACTTTCCCAGGCGCCCGATACTTTCCTATATCGAAAGTGTTGGGCGCTCAATCTGCACTTTCCTCTCGGGGCCAAGTTCCCACTAGCTTCAGTCTCGGTCAAAGTGTCTGCGCCCAGGCCCGTTCAGACAGTGGCCTAGGACCGAATTGGTTAGGCATGCCCAACCACCCAGGCACAAATGTGCGGTGTTCCCTGCTTCGACGTGCGGTGTTCCCTGCTTCCACCACGTTGCTGGAAGAGCCTGGAAGGCTCACGAATATTTCCGATTCTCACGAGCAAAGCGGATGTAACCAACTGGCGCGTGGCAACTGTCTGGCGCCCACCAAGATTTGCAAAAATTGAAGAGTTCAGGGCACATTGAGATTCAGGGGGGCTGCCTTCACTTAGGGCGGGCATGTGCCTGCTGCAGGGCCTTATGACCCGTGCACCTTCATCACGACATAAGAATTCCAGAATGCAAGCTGGAATGGGTGGGCTCAATTGGAATCCTACCCCAAGGTCAGATCGAGAAGCTTGATGGTAACCACAGACAAACAAAGTAACCCCAGGGTTACCACATTGTAACCACAGACAATACTTTGCCGATCCTTCAACCAGCCATTTGTCTGCATTAGCTTGCACCCAGACGGGACTTAGAGCCAGTGTTGGGCTGCTTGCAGTCCCATGATCCCCTGAAAGTGCCCAAGAGTGCTGTTGGGAAGCTGTCTCATCGGAGTTTCACCGACTCATCAGGAGGCTGAACCCTTGACGGTTGGCAGAGTACCATAACAAACGATATTCTGAGCTACATTAACAGACAGGATGCCTGCGCCGACCGCTCGGACCGGCCTCCGGGTAGATCAGCACAGCGTGGGCCTGAACCTGGTAGGTTCCTACAAGCATCGGAAGGCCCACCCAGCGTGGAACAAAGAAAAAAGCAGTGGGCCGCAGATCACCACTGATCTACGGTCCAGATCTCCTTCGCCATTCTCCTCCAGAGGTCTGCCCAGGGGGACAACAGGCACTTGGATTTGAATGGCCGTCGTCCCCCCGAGCCGGCATTCTTGCTGCCCGCATCATTCACCATGTCATTGCTGCAAGGAAGATGAGCACTATCTAGCCTATACTACGAAGCAGAATGATGACATCAACAGCGTTCCCGAAGTACGAGCATATGGCGACCAATGTCGCACGCTTCAGCACCAGGTATGTCTCTCGTAACACTCACAACCCCGATCCACACCGCACAGATGCCACTAGCACCCCAAGGACCACCCTGCGCTTTACCTAGCATACAGCAGCGCAGCTTGGCTATGGCTGCGTGCTCCCTCCTACTCGCCCGTGAGAGCGTGTGTGCCAGCMAGCCAGCACCCGAATACGGAATGAGGAGGCAGGCCCTTCCCTATATCGAAGTGGCCTGCCTGCGTCCAGTCCAGGAAACTTCCGGTAGGCCCCGGTAGGCACAGGCCCAGTCACGAAGGGAGCAGGCCTGGGGCCTGATGTGGTTGTATGTGCCCAACTGCTTTCGGCCTGTGTTTGGCCTGGTACCCGTATCCAGCCCAAGGCCTGCTTCACATTCATTTACACAGGCGGCCCAGGGCCTGGATTCATTCAACCAACTGGCGCAATGCAACTGTCTGAATTTCCCCGTTGCGGGGTACCCTGAAGAATGAGGCCCGAAGGGCCTGTCGTGCCTGCCTTCACTTAGGGCGACCGACCTTGTTGCAGATAGGGCCCCGTAGGGGCTAAGCGGGCGTAGCCTCGCATTGCCATGTCACCTCCATCTCTCCACACCATAGCTTTAAAATTGACTAGTCAGTACTAGGTCAGTCTGCGCATCTACCAGCCATCCAATCACCTCTGGTTGAACCACTTATCTGCCATCGCTCACCAGCTCAACCGCTAGTTCGTCAGTACATCCTTCAGCCAGTCAATTAGTATGCCAGTGTGCCAGCCAGTCACTGGCGGTCACTCGATCAGTCAGTCAGTAGTACATCCGTCAGTCATCAGTCAGTCAGTAGTACATCCGTCAGTCATCAGTCAGTCATCGGTCAGTCATCAGTCAGTCATCAGTCGGCACATGAGTCAGTCATTACGTCCATATGTCATTAAATCAGTCAGTCAGTGAGTCAAACAGCGAGTACGTCAGTATGTCAATAAGACAGTCAGCCAGCCAGTCGGCCAGCCATCCAGTCCGTCAGCCAGCCAGTCAGCCAGTCAGTCTGCAAGTCAGGCAGTCAGTCATCTATCAGCAAGTCAGGCAGTCAGGCAGTCAGACAGTCAGACAGTCAGGCAGTAAGTTAGGCGGCAAGTCAGCCAGCAAGTCAATCAGCAAGTCAGCCAGACAGTCAGTCAGTCAGTCAGTTCATCCTTCAGGTTGGCAGCCAAGCAGAAATCCAGGTAGAGAGAGGTTGATGGATGTCAGTAATACAGCCCCTTGTTAGATAATCCAGGACAGAAACTTAGCCACAGAGGAACCAAAGCAGAGTGTAGATACAGAGGAAAATTGCGGATAGGGGTGTGGAATCCCTTTGTCTGAAAAATGCAGAAGAGAAGCAGTATGGAAAGGCAAGCAAGGATTGATGGGGTTTAAATGTTAGCTCCTGTTCAAGGAGTCCTAGTCAGTGACATACATGGACAGTTGCAATTTTCTCCGAAGAAAAGCACCCCCTCAACCCCAGCCCCTCAGACTTGCCTAGCAATAAGTGTAGTATAGCTCATATTAAGGGGACCCTTCATACCAACAGGCCTTGCTCAGTTGGCGCACCCATGGACTGTTGAAATATAGACCCAACTTCGAATCCAGAGTATCCAGGTAACAAATGCCCACAGCAGCATCACGTCTGCCGCCAAACGAGGCAACCATGCCCACAGGTCGACAGGAGCATGTAGACTGCAGCCAAATTATGTGACCGAGCTCATCAATCATCACAGTCTGACTCAGGAGGGCACGCGTTCACACTAGGACTTCCTTCACATGCGTGACTGCTAATACAGGCAGCGCGGTTTTAGCCCAGAAAGCCCTACCCGTCTTCCCCCCCAATAGAATGCATTGATCATCTCTGTGTCTAGACTTGAAGTTGCCCCAAAATACAATGATAGGGCGTTCTTTTTCTTTTCTTCAATATAATAATATAAAAATACAGTTGTCTTCCCCTCATATATGGGGGACAGTTTTATTTTTTTAATTTTTTTACAACTGCGAGGAACGAGCCCTCACGGGGCTCTATCAGACATCACATGTTCTGGGCAAAGGCCCCCAGCAAGTCGAGTGCCCGCCCTAAGTGAAGGCGGGCCTGAATATTCATCAGAGGCCAAAATTTGACACTTTCATATGTGGGTATTCAGGCTCTTGCAGCACGCCAGTTGGTTGAATGGACGCGTGAGCCTCACTAAGCTGCGTCGTACAGTTGGCCCAGGCCTTGGCAGTTGCGCCTGGGCACATACACACAAATCAGGGCCGATACATCGTGAAGCAGCCACCGGCCTGTGCAAAAGCAGTACTGTCGACGCACCTACCCCGGGGCCCCACACAAATCCAGCAAACGGCCCAAGTCCGGAGATTCAGGCCGTGCCCAACTGTGAAGGGCCCAGGCCCTCAACTGTAGTCTCAGGCCTGGGCGCAGGGGCTGAGGCCCAACCGGAAGCTACTGGAAGCTTCCAGCCAGGACACACACAGCATCCAGGAGGCTGCCACTTTCATATAGGAAGTGAGGCACCCCAGGCGGGGCATTTCTGGCCCGCGTAGGCAATGCGGTCACGCTGCTGCGCTGCTGCATTGGATGCTGCGCTGCAGCCGGAGCGCTGGCGGGGTGCATTGAGGTGAAGTGGGGCGCTGGAGGGCAGCGGGGCGCAGGCAGCCATAGCCGGGCTGTTGGGCGCTCGGGGGTAAGAGGGCGATCTGGTGGTCTTCAGGGAAGGAGGCGAGTGCGGGTGATCAACATCTGATGAGGGTGACGAGATACGGACCTGGTGCATGAAGAGAGGTCGGCTATGGTGTTGACGTCATGTACATTGGTCTTCGAGAGTCGAAGTGAGCCTGTTGCGTGAACACAGCTGTAGGTAGGATATTCGAGTAGAGTAGGCTAGGCGCTGGGCGCCAGACAGAGAGGAGCGACTTTGGATACTGTGTTGGTGTGGCCTGAGGGCTTGAACATTGGCTCATTACTTCATTGCTACAAGCAAAACCAAGAGGAAGGTATGTACCTCGTTTACGTCTCTGAGAAGGGGGAGGTCGTTAAAACACCCCCAGAGATAGAACGCGTCGCTGCTAAGTTCCCTGATCTGTTCGAGGAGCCCACAGGAGTGGTTGATAGGGAAGTCGTCCACGCTATAGAAATAATTCCAGGGAGTAAGACCCCAAAGGGAAGGATCTATAGGATGGCCCCTGCCGAGTTAGATGAACTTCGGAAGCAACTCAAGGAGCTGACAGAGAAGGGTTGGATTCGGCCTAGTACTTCCCCTTACGGATCACCTGTGCTATTCGTACCGAAGAAGGGGGGTACTTTAAGGATGTGCATTGATTATAGGGGCCTCAATGCTATCACGATGAAAAACGCAGAGCCTCTACCTCGCATAGACGACCTATTGGATAGGGTGCAGGGATGCAAGTACTATACAAAGATAGACTTGAAATCCGGATATCACCAGATCGCAATAAGACCTGAGGACCAACACAAGACAGCTTTTCAGACTAGATATGGTCTGTATGAGTTTGTAGTGATGCCTTTCTGTCTTTGTAATGCGCCGGGTACGTTCCAGCACGCTATGAATCGGATCTTCCATGACCATTTAGATAAGTTTGTCGTGGTCTACTTATACGACATTCTGATCTTTAGTAAGTCTGTCGAGGAGCACGCACAACATGTTGAGACAGTTCTCTCACTCCTGCGACAGCACAAGTATAAGGTCAACTTAGAGAAGTGCGAGTTTGGCAGCACTAAGATACGATACTTGGGTCATGAAGTATCCGCGGAGGGAATTAGGCCGGAAGATGCGAAGGTGGCTAGTATTCGAGACTGGCCACGACCTCAGACAGTCACTGAGGTCAGATCATTCTTAGGAATGTGCGGCTACTATAGGAACTTCGTCAAGAACTATTCTACAGTCGCCTCTCCTTTGACCAATCTAACTCGACTTGACACACCGTGGGACTGGAGTGATGAGTGCGAGAGTGCTTTCAAGAGATTGAAGCATGCACTAATGAATCATGAAGTTCTCATGGTTCCTGATCCGCAAAAGCCATTCATAGTGACCACCGACGCAAGCCAATACGACATTGGCGCAGTGCTGGCTCAGCAGGACGGGAAAATGTTGAGACCGATTGAGTACATGAGTAAGAAGATGCCATCGAAGAAGTTGGCTAAGTCCACCTACGAAAGGGAACTTTATACTCTCTACAAGGCACTTGTCCATTTGAGACACTTCCTTTTGGGAAGGTTCTTCTATCTGAGGACTGATCATCAGACCCTCAAATGGATCAAGACTCAACCGGCTCTTTCTGATGCACTCAAGCGATGGATTGAGGTCATAGACCAATATGACTTCAAGCTTGAGTACCTAAAGGGAGAGTATAACAAGGTTGCGGATGCGCTATCCCGTAGAGCAGACTACCTAGGTGCGCTGGTTTCTGAATTTGGCGTATCTAATGAAGTAACTCAATCATTGGTGGGAGCCTATCAAGAAGACCCTGTCACGATGGACATCATCCGCAAACTGCAGGCAAAAGACAAGGCCACAGAAAGTGAGTTTGTGATGGTGGATGGGCTAATCTATCTTGATAAGGCCGGAGCAAAGAGATTTGTAGTTCCATCTAGTGAACAGTTGCGTAGTTTATTTTTAGGAGAATGTCATGACGCAACTGGGCACTTTGGCTACAAGAAGACGAGTGCTAACTTAGTACATCAATTTTGGTGGCCCGGAATGTTAGATGACGCGAAGAAGTATGTTGAGACCTGTCAGGCCTGTCAGCGGGACAAGCTGCGAACTCAAGCACCGCTTGGGTTATTGAAGCCTTTACCTATTCCTGATGGTCCAGGATTGAGTGTTTCCATGGATTTCATGGACACTCTTGTGACCAGCAAGAGTGGTAAGAGGCACATTTTCGTCATCATTGACACATTCACCAAGTACGCTAGACTAGTGCCAATGCCAGAGACAGCCAGGACGGAATACGTCATCAAGTTGTTCAAGGACAAATGGGTAAGGGACTTTGGTTTACCAAAGACCATCATTAGTGACCGAGACGTCCGATTCACAAGTGAGCTGTGGAAGAAGACTGCAGAACAGATGGGCAGTCAACTTCAGATGACTTCAGGGAATCATCCCGAAGCCAACGGACGGGCCGAACAAATGAATACAGTTGTACAACACTTGCTGAGGCACTACATCAAGCCCAACCAGGATGACTAGGATGAGCAGTTACCTCTCATCGCCAGCCTGTACAACAATGCTATACATAATAGTACCAGCGTCAGTCCTAACCAGCTGCACTTAGGATGGAAGCCTAGATCAGCATTAGACTTCCTCCTACCTGAAAACCGACCTGCTGCACTTCCAGGCACACTTGAATATGGTGTGCAGTATGAGAAGTTGCTGCAAGAGGCTGTTGAACACATGAAGAAGGCTCAGCAAGCCATGATTGCTTCAGAGAATCAACATCGTAGACAGTCCACATTTCAGGTAGGGGAAAGTGTCTGGGTCAAGGCTAGTGAGTTAGGACAGGAATTCGAAATATCTCGCAAACTAATGCCTCAGTACTTTGGTCCCTGGGAAGTCTTGGATGTAGTGGGAGATGAAATGGATGGTCCTACGTATGTCATTCGTGTCCATGGTCATCTACGCACTCACCCAGTCTTTCATGCCTCAAAGCTTGCACCTTTTGCTGAGACTGATCAATTCCCTTCCAGGAGATCGATGCTGCCCCCAACCATGGATGG